TTTTATAGTTTTAAAGTTTGAATTTAAATTTTCAAACTTTTAAAGTGTGAAATTTAAATTTTTATAGTTTTATAGTTTTAAAGTTTATAATTTAAATTTAAATTTTCAAACTTTTAAAGTGTGAAATTTAAATTTTTATAGTTTTATAGTTTTAAAGTTTATAATTTAAATTTAAATTTTCAAACTTTTAAAGTGTGAAATTTAAATTTTTATAGTTTTATAGTTTTAAAGTTTATAATTTAAATTTAAATTTTCAAACTTTTAAAGTGTGAAATTTAAATTTTTATAGTTTTATAGTTTTAAAGTTTATAATTTAAATTTAAATTTTCAAACTTTTAAAGTGTGAAATTTAAATTTTTATAGTTTTATAGTTTTAAAGTTTATAATTTAAATTTAAATTTTCAAACTTTTAAAGTGTGAAATTTAAATTTTTATAGTTTTATAGTTTTAAAGTTTATAATTTAAATTTAAATTTTCAAACTTTTAAGTGTGAAATTTAAACTTTTTATAGTTTTAAAGTTTGAACTTTGAATTTAAATTTTCAAACTTTTAAAATTTGAAGTGTGAAATTTAAATTTTTATAGTTTTATAGTTTTAAAGTTTATAATTTAAATTTAAATTTTCAAACTTTTAAAGGGTGAAATTTAAACTTTTATAGTTTTAAAGTTTGATTTTAAATTTTCAAACTTTTAAATTGTGAAATTTAAACTTTTATACTTTTAAAAGTTTGAAAGTTTGTATTTAAAACTTTAAAAGTATAAATTTTTAAGTGTAATGTTCCTAATTTTTTAATTTTAATAAAAAAATTATAATTTTAACGGTTGGACCCGGTTTCCGGTCCGGTCCGTTACCGGTCCGGGACGGGTACACGGATTTTTTCCCGGAATTACCGGTTCCGGTCCGTCCCGGTTCCGGTTCGGTTCCGGCCCGTGGTGCCCGGTTCCGTTCCGGTTCCGGAACGTCCCGGTCCGGTAGTTCCGTTACCGGTTCCATTGCCACCCTTAGTTGTTGGTCATAATTGGGTCGGGTGTTTTAATGTGGGTGATGGGTGGGTTTTTTAATGAACAACTTTCACATATAGCAAACACAAAAGTCATATTTGTATGCTATAGCAAAGTTTGCATAATTGCGCTCCATAGCAACCATATATATGTATAATTCGCTATACATATACAAAAAAAAAATAGTTGTACAATTCGCTACACATATACAAAGAAGACAGTTGTATAATTTGCTATACATATACAAAAGAAAGCAGTTGTATACAAAGATCAATTGTATAATCTGTGTATGTATAAAACGAGAAAGAGAGAAAGGTAAAAGAAAACTGGGCAGGAAAATATTTGTATTGTATAATTAAAGTGTATAGGACGAAGATATATGTATTTGCATGTGTATATATAATTTCCTCTCGCTTTATGCAAACAAAAATGCAATTTATACATTTCGTTTCTGTTTGTATAAGCGAGAGAGGCGAGCGAGATTTGGGAGAGTGGTGAGCGAGATTTGGGAAAGGGGAACGAAAATATATGTATATATACAATTTCCTCTCTTTTTATACAAACACAAACACATTTTATACATTTGTGTTTGTACAAAAGCAAGAGAGGCGAGTGAGACTGCCACCAAACGAGAGTGGCGAGTGAGATTCCACCAGGGAGAGTGACGAAAATAGCAATAGTTTGCTATAGGGTACAATTAAATCAAAGTATATTTATAGCATTTAATTTGAATTAATAGTTTGTTATTATATACAATTTTCTCTTTTTTAATTAAAGGTAAAATACTAAAATTAAATTAAATGCAGAAAATCATTTGGATGGAGACATGTGTCCCTCCGTTAGTCCAAAGGGTATATACACCCTAAAATTTAGACGACAAGGGTGTCAGTGTCCTAAAAGTATAATGAAGGGTATTTAGATACCATTTATAATAGTTCGGGGGTATATTTGTTCTTTTTCCCTAAAAATTATGCGGGTTAAACTCAACCCTCCCCGTAGCAAACTGTCGCCTCTCTCACTGAAATTCTCGCTCGCCACTCTCGCTTTATACTAACACAAATGTATAAATTGTGTTTCTGTTTGTATAAAGCGAGAGAAAATTGTATATACATATGCAAATACATATATTTTCGTTCTACACTTATAATTATACAATACAAATCTTCCCCTGCTCATTTTTCTTTTGCCTCTCTTTCTCGCTTTATACGAACACAGATTATACAAAATACAATGTATAATTTATGTTTGTATAAAGCGAGAGAGACAGAGATTTAATATACAAACGTTTTATTTCGATTCAACTGTATACAAATTCAAATTTTATGCAGATATACAAACAATAAAATTGAATTGAGAGGCAACCAACGACTTATACAAACGAGAGACTGAATGCAAAATTATACAAATTTGAAAAGGAGCCAGCGAGTTATACAATATGATGCTCCATAACAAACATAATGGAGTGCAATTAAACAAACTATAGTTATAACATACAAATATGATTTTTATGTTTACTATATGTGAAAGCTGCTCTAGTAGAATTCTTCTCGAGCAATAAAATGCCCAAATTGACTACGGTGAACATCTCCACATTTATTTTACAAATAAAAGCATACAAGTAGGTGGAGATTACAAAACTCAAACAGCAGCTGCTATGGGAATAGATCTGTAACACACCCTCTTGGCTGCTCGAACAATGTCTTCAACCTGCACGATTCCATCATCACCGGAAGAAATTAAGTCAATCCGAACTAACATCTGATTCGATTATTTTAATGGCTTCTGGTTAGCAACCAAATAAAATTCTTTATATAGATGATTGAGATCAAAAGCCCAAAAACTTCTATAATAATGTAAGCTGGAACATAAATATTACAGAGAAGAGACCTGTGGAAGAGCCATCCTTTCAAGATTGGCAGCATAAGGCATTGGAACATCTGCACCAGTAATCCTTTCAACTGGGGCATCGAGGTACTCGAATATTTCCTCGACAACTGAAGCACTATTTATGACAACCAAAGGCACAAGTTTAGTTTAAAGATTGATCCTTTAGATGTTCCAAACAGCTAACATTAACTTCAGTAATGTACAACTAGTAATGCATTATTATATGATTTTCAATACAGTTTGAAACACAAACCAGATTTCAGCACCGACGCCATGTTGAGGAAACCCTTCTTCCACAGTAACCAGCCTGTTAGTTTTTCTCACCGAAGCATTGATGGAAGATTTGTCTAATGGCCTAATTGACCTAATATTAATGATCTGTAAGATTGAAATACATCAAAACCAACCGTTTATGGCAAAGAGTACACAAACAAGCCAACAGCTACATTTCAAATCAAGGAGTTGAGGTAACCATGTTGCGGAAAGGGAAGAGAAAGAGCTCCGTTGGAACTAATTTACCTCAGCATTAATATCCTCCTTCGCAAGCGTCTCTGCAGCCTGAGCAACAAATGTTGACAAATTAAAGAGAATGAAACTGTAATGCGATTAACCAAACTCTTCATTGCATGTATACTCATTATTGGAATGTAGGGAAATATGCACACATAAACCTTGAGAGCATAGCCAACCATCCGTGAGAATGCTGTAATTGTCACATCTCTTCCCTCTTTCTCTATCTGTTGTACATAAAAGAAAAAGAATCACAAACTGTAAGAACGGATGCAAACAATTCCGAAAAAGTAAAGCTTGTCTGGGAGCATACCTTTGCTTTCCCTATGGGAAGGGTAAAGCTTGGATCAAGAACTTCTTCCGACACAGGAAAAGACTCGCCATACCTGAAAATTGATTTACCAAAATTTACTCCCCTACTATTTTATTCTTCGATTTTAGCATTACATGTTGTCTTCTTGGCTTCGGTTATCATATTATTTGTTGTTGCTACGGTTCTCTTCTCCATTGTTTTTCAGTTTAGCTTCTTCATTACTATATTTACTTACAAACTTGATTGTTGTTATATTTTACTTGAGCCGAGGGTCTATTAGAAAGAACTCTACCTTTTCTCAAGGTAGGGGTAAGGTTGTATACACACTATCCTCCCCAGACCCCACTTGTGGGATTACACGGGTGGTATGCTATCCTTATACCAAGGTGTTTAGAGATTTTTTACCACAATTCTCAAAATCGTATCATACTTACAATAACTCATTCTCAAGAAAAACAACCGGATCGGGATCTCTGATAGCTGCTTTTAGAAGTCCTCTCGCATCTTCAGATGAATATGGCGCCACAACTTTCAAGCCAGGGACAGACCCATACCATGGAGCATAACACTGCATATTGATCATCATATGACAAGTTTGAGTTCTAATAATTTCTGAGATATAGATTTCTCAAAATGCATTTCGTCCAGATAAACTGACAATCATCTTCTTGTGACCAACAAAGGATAATGCATATCATATTTGAGAGAGATTTATTTGTTGAATATCGGTTATTTCTCAATCTACAGCCTGATAAAACACACCAGTGAGCATGAAATCTGTGAGTAGTTGAAGCATGCAACTTTCAAGTTTTCTGCAAGTTGTGCAATGAGCAGCTAATAAATGGTACAGACAACAATACCTCGTTGTTTTCAATCACATTTAAACAGCAAGGCACAACTCTAATAATCAAAGACCCTCAACGACGGCTACCGGTCAACTTATACTAGACGCATAATCCCGACAACCTGATACTCCCAGCAATAGCTACTGAATTTTTTTACTCAAAGCATCATCCAGTTCAGCAAGGTTTTTCTTATTATAGATTACGTACACACATGTGATCTTAATTTAGAACAGCATAAGAACTTCTCTGATATCCACACCCTGCTTTGTCTTCTTCCAAGAGCGGGCCTTGGTATATGCTGGTGCTTTCACATGAATCTTTGCTCATGACAGCTGTTTCCTTAAAAAGAAATACCACCAGAAAACTGATACAAGATACCTGAGAGTGCTGAGCACCAACACCTAGAGCAGCACCATTCGGTCCTCGGAAAACAATAGGAACACTAATATTCCCACCAGACATGTAGTGTGTTTTGGCAGCAGAGTTAACCAGATGGTCTATTGCCTGCAAGAACACATCAGAACTCCTAATATCTCCACAGAATTCAGCTTTTAATTTCAAAAGAAAGACGCAGATTAGGAAGGGAAAGTGGTTTTTGTGCCGTAACAAAAATAAATGTCTCGAAAAGAAATCAAACAAAAGTTCCATTACAAAGGTGAGAGCTGTAGGGTCGTCTTCTAGTAAAGTCATCAAATTGAAATACTATCTCCTTTAATTATCTTTTTCCACTGATCAAATGTCTACACAAAAGGTCTCAGCAGCAGAAAATACCATGATAAACAAATGAACAATGCTATCTCAATGGAATTACTCTGAAACCTTAATGTTATAGTTTTCTGTCTTTATCCCAAAGACCTACAGAATCAGCTAATATGCAGCACTCCCGCGCTGATCCCAGAATGACTGGGTCTGTATGGTGGTCTCATGGGTGGTTCCTCTAGCTTGTACCAGCAGCACAAGGGCACTCCTAAGCTTCTCATGGGTGCATTGTTCCTAGTTTGCGTGAGTTTTTCAAAATAGACATACATATGATTTTTCCCGAGGCTAACGGGTGCAGGTGCACCCCCTCCTAAAGGTATGGGTCCACCTTTGTGGATAGGTATGGTGCACGTCAAGTAGCTCCTCTGAAATGACACCCAAGACAGGTGTAAGTTATCCTGTCTGATGATTACAAGCATGGTTTCAGAAAACAAAGGAGCCCTGAATTTCATTTCATCTCGTCGTTTCAAGATATGTAAAATCCTATTACCTGCAGCTGAATACCACATATATGCTGTAGGGTTGACTATAAGTATATTGGTATACTGCTCTGCTGATTTCAGAACATTTACGGGAAATCCATGTAGAAAAACAAAACAAAAAGGCTTCTCCACTAAGTATGGTGGCAAAAAACTAGAACACCTATTTAAGAGACCGGTCAACAGGCTTGAATTGTTTAAAAATAGGGCGAAGCACAAATTAGTTAGTTGTGGACAGATTGCATGCTTGAATAATATGCTCAGTTCTTTTTATCTGCAACAACTCCTGCTTGTTCACCCTTGTTGAGCTATATATGGAGAACAAAGCTTACTAAGAATTCGAAAGCAGACCTAATTTTGATAACTACATACATAGACAACTTATGATGGAATTTCTACGGGAGGAAGTAAAAGCTTAACACGTTACCTAAGCCATATAAAACTGGTCTCTATACACCGTTAATGTTATAAGTATCATTATGAGCATCATAGCAACCATTCCAACATGTGACAAAAGGTAACACGAAGAAGTTTGAGAAAGCGAAGTAATATCTTACCTGCATGGCAAAGTTAAAGGTCATGAACTCTAAGACAGGCCTAAGTCCATAATATGCGGCTCCCGTAGCGAGTCCAGTAAATCCAGCCTGCTCAATGAGAAACAAGAAGCTACACTTTTAATGAGGAAACCAAAGATTAATGTATAACGACTGATGGCTAAGAGAGAATGCAAAGTTATTATAGCACATTGATGATGAATGAAAAGACAACCTCAGTAATTGGGGTATCAACAACCCTGTCAGGGCCGTACTTGTGCAAGAGTCCTTTAGAGACCTGCCAAAAGAGAGGAGAAAACAATTTCACTACTGCACTGTAGGGGCGAGCAACTTCAATGTTAGAAATTCTAACCTTGTAAGCACCTTGGTATTCCCCAACCTGAATGGTTCAAAAAGGTAATTAAGCACCACACCGCCAAAATTCAAATAATAGGGAAGCAAATTGATTGTTACCTCTTCGCCCATTAAAAATACTCTAGGATCAGCTGTCATTTCCTCATCAAGGGCAGAATTTAGTGCTTCTCTCACCATCATCTACAAAGTAAGAGTTGACATATGCATAATTACAAGCAGAGGCGAAGCTAGGTGGGACCCACTAACTTTTCCGTACACTGCCCTAAAAAATTATATATATATATGGAAATTACTTGTTCATTTTGACAAATTAAGAAAGGGCAATTTTCTTTTACCTATTATACCCTCAATTAATTACTTTTAAAAGGTAGAACTTCTTGAAAATCTTACGTTTTTAATTCATGGACTTCATAATTAATAAGGGTAAAATAGTAAACTTACTATGTCAATAAATATTTTCTTCATATGTGTGTAAATTCAAAAGTGGACAAATAATTAGGGACAGAGAGAATAACAAGGATAAAATAGATACAAAAGAAATTATTTCTTAATTTTCTAAATTAGATAAATATTATTGGATAACTATTTTTAGTATAGTGGATAATTATTATTGAACGAAGGTAATACTTCACCCCAAAAAGGACTCCTAAAAATAAAGGGAGGAATACTTTAGTCAAAACTTGCATATGTTAGCACAGGGTAATGCTAAATGGCCAGAAAAAATTGGCCAGAATTTGGCCAGAAAGGTAAAAAGACTATAATATCCTTATTTCAATTTTTGCATTTATTCCATCATACTTTTCCCTCCAAAACAAAAGTAACTTTTTTCTATTTCCCAAACTCCTTGAACTACTAAAATACAAACTTTTTGGCTACCAAGGGAAATAAAAGTGTTTTTGTGTATATTTATGTGTGTATAGTTCATTGGATTTTTATTTTTTAAAATATTGTTCAGTTAATTAAAAAAATTGCAGTTTCAGTTTTATACATTAATATTTTAATTTCGTTTTTATACATTAATATTGTTTTTCATTACTATACCATACAAATTATGTTCTACATACATATATATATATATAAAACCTACACTCCTTCCTCTACCCCTTCCCGAACTCAATTATGTACACAATGTACCAATGCATACCTTTGAAAAATTGTTTTTTTCGCTTAAAATAAATCTCTTTATTGAAGAAGACAATTAAATTTCTCATTAATAATAACTACAAATGACTATCTTATCTACTTGAGATTATACTTAATTATTTTGTAATACAAATTTAGTAAAACATAGTAATTAAGTGTAAGGATTTACCAAAAAAATTTATAAATAATTTTTTCTTTAAAATATAATCAACTAAATAGATTCTTCTATATAATGGATGTTGTTCAAGAGAAAAAATAATGTACTTTTGGAAGTTAGATATTTATAAAAAAAATAACTAACGAAAGACTTTTGTAACTTTTAATAACACGTTAATTTTTTATATTATAATCATTCCAAACAAGAATTAACATATATAGAAATTGGTAGAATTATTTCACTAATTTTAACCATGAATAAAAAATTAAAGTACTCATATAATACTAATTAAGAGGATGTTTCAAAAAGAATAAATAAAAGATCACTCAATACCTAATGATCAATTATAATACTTTAAAATAGATGTATTTTATGTAGGATACTTAAATTACAATATGTCTAATGTATGTAAATAAAGTATAGCATAATTAGTATATACATTTTTTTTAAAAATATTTTCATTTAATATAGAATTTTCTATCGAAGGAGACAATTAAAATTCATGTTAATAATAGACAAAAGTAGATTATTTTCCAATTAAAAATTATACTAACTACTCGGTAATACATAATTTAGTTGAATTAAGTATAATTTTCAAATTTACAATTGACTTTTCTTTAAATAAAATCAATGAATAAACTTATATAATTCTACCATGATTAATAGACCGGTCATATAACATGTGTGCTTTTCTTTTATGAAGAAAATAAGAATATCATTTTGAGAATTAGATGTTTTAAATATAAAAAAATATATAATAAGACATTTATAACTATACCTCAAATAACATATCAAATTTTGTATATCCTAATTTCTCTAAACAAATTTATAATAACTTATAGTAATTATTAAAATTATTTCACCATTTCTAACCATGAATACACAATTAGTTACTTCAATTATATTAATTAAGAAGATGTTTCAAAATAAAAATAAAATATAAATAAAATTGTATACATATGTATGTATTGTATATGTTTATAAATAGTTAGGCCCTATTCTTAATTAAATAATCAATAAAATCATATATATAATCAATAAATTCTATTAAGCACTTTTAAATTATAAAATCAAAAAATTATATTAACTTTAGTTATCAAGGTTAAAGAGTATATAATTTAAACAATCAAATGATTACAAATACATATTCAATGTATAACTATTGATTTTATATAACTTAAACAATTATTTTAAAAATATTGAAACATATGATTTAAATTTATTTAATTATATCAATTATAAAATTACTTAATTAGAGGTTATATTAAATACTTAATAAAATATAAGTAATCATTTTCAAGTTATCAAATAGGCATAACACATAGGCGCGAAACTACAACACTGGTACATTGATTCTCTGAGGTTTCTATTAATTATATAACTAGGATCAATACATATGTAAATTATATGATTCTTATAATATTTATAATGTATTGATATCCACCATGTCTAAAGTGTATTGAATTTTTAAATGTCGTTATTGAAATCATTTTAAATAATGTTTAAATATAAATTAATTTAAAATAATTTTTTATGATGTGTCGATTTCTTAACATATTTTTTTATCTTTATAAAAATATTGTGCAAATTATGTTGGATTATTATTATT